TCAAGTCCACAAAGCTTCTATTTTGGGCCGAAAATGAAAAGGCTAAAGAGGGGCATTTGTATCTATACCCATTTTTTGTGTCACATTTTAACTTGTGCCCGCTTTATAAAAAAAATTGCAAGCGTACTCGCTTTTTCGCATAACTTCAGCACACGGGGCTGAAGTAGCAAAGGCAATCACGCAAAACTTCAGCATTCTAGTAGCCGGGCCTGAAGTTCAGCACTAGAGCTGAAGTTTTTGTTTTGTAACTGGCGAACTTCAGCTCTAGAGCTGAAGTTTTTGTGTTGTAACTGGGAAACTTCAGCTCTAGAGATGAAGTTTTTGTCTTTGTAACTGGCGAACTTTTTGTTTTCGTAGCTTATCCATATTCTTTTAAACTTCTTGTTTTTCTGAGAAAGAGCTGTTAAATGTTAATGGCGATGCTAAGGAACGATTCAAAAAGAGCAGTGAGCAGCAAACAATAAGATTTTTAATGGCTGACAACAATACTTCATTTCCAATATCTCCCACCAAAAATCATACAAGCCCACCCATTTCTTTAAGAATTTTTAATGGATTTCTCACCAGAAGCTTATCTGATGTAGTTGAAGCTGGAATTAATAGCCCAAAATCCATTCTTGACGGCAAATAAATGTTCACTTTTGGCAACCCTTTTGGCTATGATAGAAACTGCGGAAATCTAATCACTTATATGAACATAAAGCAGTCAACTTTATTAGTAGATGATAAGTTGAAATCAGAAGGTATTAAACTTGCTCTTCTTTTGAGTGAGGAAATGGTTCTGTTTGGAACAGAGCCTAAAGTTTAAAGTCCTGCTTCCCCTACTGATTTTGGTATCAAGACTCCGGATTGTTAGATCTTAGCTTCGACATTAAAAGAAATAGAAAACGAAGGAGGAGAAAGGGGGCTAAGTTATTTAAAAAATGGGTACAAGTTAAAAGTTTTTTAAAAAATGGGTATATGTTATTTGGTCGCGCCCGTGCAATTTTTACGGGTAAAGAGCCTAGGTTGTTAATGGGCATGTTATTATGAGGCAATCGCATGTATTTATTGAAGAGGATTTTTGAGGACTATTGTTTAGTGGCTTTTAACTTTCTATAGTTATCATATACATAATTACTTTCCGTAGCTGCCTTTAAGTTGTTATGGTAATGTACTCAATGTATTCAAGCTACTGTATTTATGAATACAATAACAAAAATCGGCTAAAAATAGTGCAATCCAGCTGTTAGCGGCTGTATTGACATGTATTCATACCATGTATTTATGAATACAATGTAATAATAGGTCTTCAGTTATTTAATAACGAAAAGCTGCTAATTTAATGAGATACACTCCTAATATAACTCACCTAAATCAATTATAACACACAACATTATCAATCCAATTAATGAGAAAATTTATCAGACGCTAAACACCAAAAAACAGAGTATTCTTCAGAGTTTCGGTCCCTCTTTTTTTTATACAGTTCGATTTTTTTTTCCTGACATTGTTCGAGATTCATAATAAACCTAATGTTTGTATTCGATTTTCTGTATATGAATACATCATGTATTTATGCCGGATACAACCTGTAATAGTAGCATACTGCCTGCATATTTTATAATAAACCTAGTGCTTATATTCTGTTGTATCTAACAGTTGTGTTCAATATATTCAGATTTATTTTTTTATTCACAATATTTTATTTATTCCTAATACATGGTATTACTGCTTTATTGAGTATATTTCATTGGTTGTATTCATTGAATTTCTATTTGTATTGAGAGTATTTTATTGTATTTTATTGTATTGTTGTTTTAAATACTGTTGGATACTATTAGGTTGAAAATACAGATGAATACATTTAGATTGAATGCATAACTAATTGATGAGTAACATCAAAATAATAGTACTAACAATGTATTTAAAAATATTATTGTATGAACTCAAATTCATATAAATACATCTAAATGCAACAGTCAAAAATCGTTGTACAAAATAAAAATCATTGTAGGCCTCATCGAATACATATAAATACAAGAAGAGAAAATAACTGTACAAACTAAAAACCAATGTATTCAGACTCGAATACATATAAATACATCTACAATTAGAGTCATTGCGTATTTTTGTTCTCCTTTCGAAATCAATGGTTGCTGATAGACCTGCAAATACAGGTTCCTCTTGAGTGATTTGCAAATCGAAAGATGACCGTTTGAAATTGAGTGCTTTAGTGGGTATTCTGCAGAAAACCTAACAATGGTGAATATTTTGAAACAAACTGTTGAAGAGAAAAAGAAGAAGCTTTAACCGGTCAAAAATCAAAAAACTTTAATACTTACCACAATTTTTTGGAGCAAAAAATATTGAAAATTGAGGGAGACAATGACGCTGATAAAGGAGAGAGCTGGGGAGAGAAATTTGGAGAAAAAATATTGAAAACGGCCATGGCAGCTGCTAGGTCTCCACGTCGCATAGAGAGAGGAGAGAGAGATCGTGGAGAGAGAAATAAGATACTATGCGGTGATTTTGGGAGAGAATAAACTGGACGAATGAGAGAAAAATATTAGACAACATATTTAATGGCTTAATGGAGGGAAGTGACCATAATAGAAATTTTGGTATAAAATCTAAAAGGTAGTTATAGAAAATAATAACTTAAAAGAGTTTTTATTTATAATAAATAGGTTGTAAAATTTTGCTATAGGAGGTAAAATTTTCTTTATTGAATCTAGCCGGCCATTTGTGTAACTATTCCAAGAAAAAACCAACATCCGCTGGCTATTTTCTAGTCATGTCTTTGAAAAGTAGCCATTGTTTTACTTGTGAAACTTAAACACTAACTCTTCTTCAGTTAAGGGGCTAAAAAATAGGTATTTATGAATTATACCCATATTTCCTTCTCCAATGCATTGTGCTTTTTTAATGGACCATGGATTCCTCCTTGAAATTACAAAATACTATTAGAATGTCACGACATTAATATCATAACAGATGTACAAGAAAAATAAGACCGACCTACTCAAGCAAGAGAGTAATCCCCATCATTTAAATTGATTTATCAACCTTGGAATAAGAATAACATTTTACAGCTTGTTTGGATAGTTGTTACACAACGTTTCATAATGTATCATATCGTATTGTATTGTATTGTATTGTACTGTATCGTTTGATGAATATAATGTTTGGATGGATTGTATCGTTTTGCCGTCGTTTCATGGTATCGTGCACCAGTAATATGATGAATAAACTTGCAATATTATAAAGAAAAATTATGAGATGGTATATAAAAAGGTAGGGTAAATGATAAATAAAATTATTTAATAATAATGAATGGTGAGATTGAGAGAAAAATACAAGGAAACAATGCGACCACACCAAATCGGTCGTTACATAAAGTGACACATTACGTAACGACAGATTTAACGATACGATACAATAAAATTTAAGTAACAATCAAAACAAACATTGTATTTAAAGTAACAATACGATACGATACGGTACAACCGGTAACAACCATCCAAACAAGCTGTTAAGAACTTCAGCAAGAGTTAATATGGTCTCAAATAATTGATTTTGCTAGCAGATCGAACTCTAGCTTGAGCAAAGTTTCTTACTAGCCACAACATATTGTTTGCACTAGACCAAAATTGAGACTTGAGATTAAGAAAAAAGAATATTTATTTTAGTTAAATGCCGACCATTGTACCTCTCAAATTAAAATTAACAACTTATTAGTGAAATTAACAGTTTATCACTCAATCCTCAAATAAATGATAATTATATTTTCAAGTTTCAATCAATTATTTATTTAAATTCATCGAATCCGTTTCACATGGATGAAGTTGACTGACGTTCGTAGAGTAACTTAATGCAGCTCGTTAACATTGTCCAAATAATCAAAGTTTCTAAAATTTACAATCTGTTAGTTAGGGGTGTACAGAAGAAACCGACAAACTGCACCAACCCGATAATCCAAGTCATCCGAGAAAAAAACTCGACTATGGTTTGGTTTGGTGTTGAAAAAAAAAATCCGACCATAATTGGTTTGGTTTGGTTTTAACTAAAGAAAGTCAACCCGACACCAAACCAACCCGACATTACATATATAGAAATTTTAGATATATTTAATATATAAATATACTTATTGTGATGTAATTTATAAATATTTCTTTAAATTTTTCATAATTTTATCTTTTAAGGTATTATTTCAATGTTGGACTTAGAACTTTTGAATGTTTCAATAAGTTTTATAGTCATTAACATTATTAGTAAATTAAATAATGGTAACAAAAGCTCAAGCCAAATCAAATCAATACTAATGCTAACAAAAAACATTCAATTCAATACTAGGAACGAGAATGTATTGAATATCTATTCTTTGTTTTGCAATAATTTAGATAAAAATGCATAACTTATTTTTATTTTTTCTTTAGCGTTTAGTCATGTAATTAATACTCCCTTATTAGTCTACTTATTTTAGCATGACTTAGTACTTTTAGATTGTGTTTATTTTTATTATGGCTTTTTAATTAACAATATTTATATTACATAATTTTATTGTCTTTATTGTTGAATATTTTAGGATAATGCCATGATACATCTCATATTTTATATTATTTTCTTGGAAAATACTTTAGATAGTTGTATCTTACTAGGATTAAAGAATTATTTTGAGCACAATTTATATGTTTTGTTCTACGAAAATTTTACCGGAAAAACCCCCGAAAAAACCTCGAGAGTGAAAAACTCGAGTTTAATTGGTTTGGTTTGGTCTTTAGATTTAATAACCCGACACAATTGGTTTGCTTTGGTAATTGTAAAATCCGAACTAACCCGACATATGTACACCCCTATTGTTAGTATATCATTTTCTAAATGAAAAACACTTTATTATTTTCTCATATTAAGTCAATCTCAATGTTAAAAAAAAAAAAAAACCTCAAACTGCAAAATGACTTGGTTTGAAAAAAGTACTACGTCAGTGTTTAATATGACGAAATATTTCTTTTTTTTTTCAAAAAGAAAAAAGGTTCGTTTCTTTTTCTTTCAGTGGCTGCGTCCGATTCTACTTCATTTTTCTTTGTACGCTGTCTATACTCCTTCCTCTCTCTCTCTCTCTACCATGTCTTTCAGAATCCGGGGTGGGGTAAGTTTTTTTTTTCTTAAATCTGTTTGATAGATCTGGATTCTGATTTACCTTTGCATGATCAGATTACTCATCTGTTTTCCCTTGTTGTTTACTTTCTGAATGTCTGTTTTAGTATAAAATTGCTTAATTCGATTGATAGAAATCTCTGTTTTTCATTGCTCTTGTAATTGTTATGTATGGATGAAGTTAAATTTAGTAAGATCTTAGTGTTGGAGTGTAAAATTAAGACTGATTCACATACTTGGGTGTGTTGATTTTCCTAGGAGTTAGTTGATCACATTGATCTGTATTGAATAAAGTTGTCAGATTTTAGTTATGGGATTGGAGTGTTGTGGTGTGTTGTTGACTTGCTTTTTTCTTTTATCTTGCCCTTCCTTGTTATTAATAATCATATTTTATCCTTTACCCTATCTTTTTATATAATAATTCTATTCCGTATCCTATTTTTTCTTAATAATGTTGCGGATTTATTCTTTGTACTATAGGTGTGTGACATCATGAAACGACGGTAAATGATAGTACAATCTATTCAAACGTTGTATTCATCAAACAATACAATACATTATGAAATGACATGTAACAACCATCCAAACAAGCTGCTTGTCAGGGCTGCGAGTCAGTCACGAGGGTTAGAGACGGATATAGGATTTAAGCTCTATGGGTTCCACCTTTAAGGATTGAACCCATGATATTTTTAACATTATGGGTTTAAATCTGCTATTTGTTGTCGATATTTACGCATATATTTATGTTCCACTTCAAAAGTACTTGATTCAGATGAGCCCAATACTGCGATGCTGCATCCGCCCCTGGCGAGGGTAGGTGTGCAAAGTGCACATTTCATAATTGGATTCAGTACACCAATGTATTTAGAAAATTCATTTTTTGATTTTCTTAGTCCGACTTCTGGAGGGATTTGATGAAAAGAAATTCACTGGAAGGCTTAGTCTGTTATATTTCTATTTTCATCTTACTAGACAAACTATGAGATTGTAAAGTGAGGGCTGACTCTTACAAGCTCTTAGTAGCAGCGCTTGTTGTTAACATTTGCTTGATTATATTATCATGTTCGAAATGTATTTGTTGAGTCTGGTGATTGGACAATACTGTACAATCTTTGTTCTATAATGCCTTTGGTTCTCTTTGGAGCAAATTTTTTGACCATCTGTTACTTTCATAGACAAATGCATCCTCTGGCATGGGGATTGCTGATCACAGCAAAGCTACATACATGGAACTGCAAAGGAAGAAGGTGCATCGATATGTGATATTTAAGATTGACGAGAAGAAAAATGAGGTTGTGGTTGAGAAAACTGGAGGTCCAGCTGAGAGCTATGATGATTTCACTGCAGCTCTTCCTGAGAATGACTGCCGATATGCGGTGTATGATTACGATTTCGTGACATCTGAGAACTGCCAAAAGAGCAAGATTTTCTTCTTTGCCTGGTATGTCATAATTTCAGCCAGAACATGTATAACTCGATTTTTGTCAAAGACTGGTGTGCATCTTGAATTGGAAATTGTACTTTTTTTAGACTCTTTACATCTGCTTACACAGTCCTCTGTGAATGTTGATGTAACTTTAATCCGTATGTGCAAAGGGCATTCTGCTCTCATTTACCTTGAAAATTGGTTCTAATTATCTACAATGCTGTGAAGTCACATTAATGATTTTCAGAGAGCCGGCACTTTAATTTTTTTGAGTATCTAACATTTGTGTCTAGCCAATTTAGTGAGTAATAGGTAAAACAGCATGGAAAACAATGTGGAAAAATTAGATGTGAATAGTTAGTAAACAACATGGAAAAATTAGATGTGAATAGTTTTTCTCCTTTGTGGAATATAACTAGCCCATCATGATGTGAATTGCCAGTATGATGGTACCATTGTTAAGGGAGTACCAGTGATGGCTGAAGCAGTCGACTTAAACATGGAGAGAGGAGAGGTCGGTAGACTATTTGTGTATGTGGCTTAGGTTTTAAAGAAGAAGGGAATTCTGAAAAAGAAAGTTGTATAGCTGTAGTGGTTAGATACTTGAGGTAACTGCAAAGTTAATGTCAGGTTCTTGAGGAAATGTTCTAATAGTGTGAATAGCCATATGATTAAGACAGACTTGTTTACATATACTGCGAAAAGGTGAATCTGACCAACAAAGGAATAGCTGATGTGTATGAGGAACAATATCTTTTGTATAGAATACTTTGCAGTCAAGAAAAATCAAGGCGAAGAAGAGTTGGATGCAGGGTCTTTAAGAAGATTCATATTCCCTATAACTTTTGTGTGTAGTATCTGCCTAACATTTCATATACGACAATTGTTTTTGGGGCTTAGGTACATATCGCTCTTTCTGCAAATAGACTTAAATACGCTGCAGATTATTATATGTAGAAGTTTCAGAAGGGTGAAGAAAGCCTTCATGCGATGGGTAGAGTGTACAAAAGTATGTTTCTTTTTCAGGATAAGTGTGTTAAAAAAGTTTGTTGGACAAGCGCTGAAGATTTATGGAAATTATTCATTGCCTTTAATCTTGAAGTTTCAAGTTTCAGCTTAACATGATCTGCTTCAACCATGATTGATTCTTTGTGGCATTGCAGTGCAAGGCCTCGCCCGTTTAACATATTTACATTTCCTGTCATAGATATTTAATCCGGCTAATATTGGCTTTTCATTCAAGTCTCTTGCTTTTAACTAAGGATTGTTTATGTATGATTTAGGATTATAAGTTCTAACTGATATGTATTCATTTATTTCGTTAAGTTCTTTTAATTTTCCTTTTCTGTCGTATATTCTCAATATATATCCTTCCAAAAACATGAGTTTTACACCCTTCGTATATCCTAGATGTAAGTGTTGTATCTAAAACGGATTGTTATCTTCTTATTGCAAAATTCTTGGACCTTCTTTTCCTTGTCCCATCACTCATAACTAAAACAGAACAAGAAACAGAACAGAGATGAAAGTAGGAAAATGTTTTCAAATCATGCCTTTTCTGTATGTTTACATTGGTTAACCGTTTCATTACTATAACTTAATTATGAAAGAAGTGGCATGCTAATCCATCTTCTTTTTTAGGTCTCCTTCTGTTTCCCGCATTAGATCGAAGATGCTGTATGCCACATCTAAGGACAGGTTCAGAAGGGAGCTAGAAGGCATACACTATGAGATTCAGGCTACTGACCCTACTGAAGTAGAACTTGAAGTGCTCAAAGAACGCGCTAACTGATTGAAACTCATCTATGAAGCAACCATTCGTAATATTCTTGTCTAATTACAACTTAAAAGGCTTGGTTTACTTAACTACCTATTGTGCAATACCTCCTCATGGCACAAATTACCTATGGGGTAAATAACTCGGCACTTGGGATGCTGATTACCAGATTCATGATAATGATATCGTGTTTTTTGGTTATGGGTTCTCTGATTCTCATGATGCTTCCCAGCCGAAAAACGGGTATGGTTATGTATGTGAATGATTCAAGTATCAACTACAGTTTGGATACTTAGCTTTTAGTAGTTTAGCTTCTTATTTCTTTTCTTCGTAGTTGTGTAGTATTTTAGTAGATTAATTTTTTATGTGGAAAACAAGAAAAATTCAAAAAAAATAAAATAAAAATAAAAATCAAAAACTTGTTGCGACCAAACGCACACGCAAGTATACGCGGTCGTCAAGTAATAAAGTGACTAAAGTCGGATGTCGATCCCACGAGGACTTGTGATTAGCTATTAACTAAATTAGATCATCCTAATTATCTATACAAGAATTAAACCTAGAAGTATTTGATTCTAAACTAATTAAAATAAAAATAAAATAAATAATGAACTCTGAGCCAAAGGATAGCAGATTTTTGTGATACCAATGTAATGAAAACGATCTAGGGTTATGGGCTATCTAACAATCCTATTGTATTCTTCTATTGAATTGACTAACTAATTTATCTAGTTTATTGGTTGACAGAGCTAATATTGCTCATAAGAATCTGTCGAGTTATTACTCGCCTATTCAAGCTAACCTAACGCCTGTATGTCTATGGAGTTAGAATCAACAAGAACGTATTTATAATTCCTGTAAATCAACCAAGCAAGGCAATTAGGTATATGTCTATCCTAAC